GGAAAGCAGGTTTCCACAGGACTCAGGGAAGGCTTTACTCTGAGGTGAACCTGGAGCCAGATGGATGGCAGGGGTAGAGGTAGGATTCACCCTGGGCACAGGGCACAGCCTCAGGGAAGGGGAATGTGTGCCTGGAGTGTTACGAGGACTTTAGGCCTGCAGCCTAGCTGTTCCAGGAGAGCAGTGAGATGAGAGGGACAGCAGACCCAGAACAGAAGGAGACAGCAGGGTGGGAATGAGAATATAGGAAGGGAGTGGTCTGCACAGCCAGATGCTGCCACAAGGTCGTGGGAGGTAGCCATGGGATTTGGCTATGTGGGACCTTGGGAGCTTGACCGTGGCAGAACCTGCAGAGAGCTCTACAGCTATCTGCCCTATGGGGTGGGGCAGAGAGCAGAAGAGGGAGTTGGGAGAGAGAAGCAGGTAGAGGTGATAGGGCCAGACAGTGTAGAGGCTGCTCCTGAGTTACAGTAATGGGTCCCCGTGCCTGCCTGGGCAGCCTCAGGCTGACACTCATCCTGCCTGCAGTGCCCTGGGGGAACCTTCACGCCCTCCATGAAATCTACCAAGGACTATCCTGACGAAGTGATCAACTTCATGCGCAGCCACCCACTCATGTACCAGGCTGTGTACCCACTGCAGCGGCGGCCCCTGGTGGTCCGCACAGGTGCCCCCTACCGTCTCACCACTGTTGCTGTAGACCAGGTGGATGCAGCCGATGGGCGCTATGAGGTGCTTTTCCTGGGCACAGGTACCCACTGCTGCTCCCCCCACACTGGGCCCACTGGGTGAGGGGTGCTGATCCCTGGGGCTGTAACCTGTCCTGTGGGGGTTGCTGCAGATTTATTATGGTCACCTCTGTCACCTCCTCTTTGGGAACCTCCCTTGGGCTAGAATGGTGAGGCTAGGGATAGCAAAACTCCATTCACTTCCCTGAGCCCAGGGCCAGAAGGGCAGGAACACTGAGCACGTAGGAGCCCTTTTGTAGCAGGAAAGGGTAGAAATAGATGGCAGGCTTATAGAATACATGGATTTGCATACTGGCACCCATGATGGCATGTGCATACACACAAGGAAGTATACCCCACACAGCTCCAACAGCTCCTAACTCGAGGGATGCCCCAGTGTCCTGATCCCAGTAGGGCCCAAAATGATGGTCCAGGGGGGCAGCGCCTGGCCATGACCCTCTTTGTCCTGGGCCAGTCCCCTGACGTCTTCCCCTTGTCTCAGGAAACCCCTTCAGCCATGGCACAGAACTCCTGCTCCACTGCCCTAGGGGGAATGGGGGCCTGGTGGAGAAGGGGCTGAGGCTTTGCCCCTTCCCCAGTGTCCCAGCCCCACTGAGGTCCTGCCTGGCCTGTTCCAGACCGCGGGACAGTGCAGAAGGTCATTGTGTTGCCCAAGGATGACCAGGAGGTAGAGGAGCTCATGCTGGAGGAGGTAGCAGTCTTCAAGGTGGGTGCAGTACCCACCAGTCCTGTCTGCCCATCTCCTTCCCTGGTCCCAGCCCCTGACCTCAGACCTCTAGGTCAGGGCAAGGAGGGAGTCCCAAGCTGATCTCCGTCCTCTTCTAGGATCCAGCACCTGTGAAAACCATGAGCATCTCTTCCAAGAGGGTGAGTCTTTGGCAACATGGGGTAGGGGTGATGGTGGAGTCTCCTTGAGGTCATGCCCTTGGCACCGGGGTGGGAAATTGAGCATTGAACAAAGAAGAGAAGGAAGCTGGTATGGTGTTACTTGTAATCCCAGACACTTTGGAAGCTGAGGCAGGAAGGTTGCAAGTTCAAGGCCAGTCAAGACAATTTACCAAGACCCTGTCTCAAAACAAACTTTTTAAAAAAGGGTACTGGGGTGTAGCTTAGTGGTAGAAGTGCTTGCCTAGTATGCATGGGACCCTGGGTCCAATCTCCAGTACCACACACACAAAAAAAGAGCAGGAGCCCAACCCAACTAGCTTCTGATATAGGGTATCTGTGGGAAAGAAACTGATAAGTTCTTGCCCCCGCCCCCAGCAACAACTGTATGTGGCCTCAGCCGTGGGTGTCACACACCTGAGCCTGCACCGCTGCCATGCATATGGTGCTGCCTGTGCCGACTGCTGCCTTGCCAGGGACCCCTACTGTGCCTGGGATGGCCAGGCCTGCTCCCGGTACACAGCATCTTCCAAAAGGTGTGAACCCAACCCTCCGGTTTCAGGCCCTGTCCTGGGGGTTTGAAGGTGAATGTGATATGACTTGGGGGTTGTCTATGGCATCACAGCTCTGGGGACACAGGGCCCTGCCCTGGATTCTTGAGCGTACAGGGACCTGGGGCATACTTCTTGGGAGCACACCTTCAGAAGGTAATTCTTACCCAGGCGGAGCCGTCGACAGGACGTCCGGCATGGGAACCCCATTAGGCAGTGCCGTGGGTTCAACTCTAATGGTGAGTGTACTCTGCCTCCCCTCCCCCGCCCACCGGTGCTCCTCGCACTACTATGGAACCCCAGGGAGCCCATGCGGTTGCTCACAGCACCCCAACTCTAAGGTTTTAAAGATGGTGTGTGGGAGTAAGGGCTCCTGAAGTTTTAGTTGTGATGTCCCTGTTTACTCCGTCAGGGTGATGCCCAGTGGCAACATTCTACCTTTGTGGGTGGGTGCCCCTCGGTGCCTGCCCCTCACCAGACAGGGGACTGTCCTGGGTGTCGTTGCTTCCACTCAGTGCCCTCCTGATCCGCAGCCAACAAGAATGCCATAGAGTCTGTGCAGTATGGTGTGGCAGGCAGCACGGCCTTCCTTGAGTGCCAGCCCCGCTCACCACAAGCCACTGTTAAGTGGCTCTTCCAGCGAGACCCTGGTGACCGGCGCCGAGAGGTGAGTTCCTGCACCCCCACTGTGGACATGGGAGTCCCTGGTACAGTGGAAATTCAATGTGGGTGAAGGCAATGTAGGAGCTGATGTGGGGCCATCCTCACTCTATGAAACCTTTCAAGCTCCCTTCCCTATGTGGAAATCACTTTAGTGAAATTAGGTAGAAACTCTGTGGGGCAGGTTTTGCCATGTGGAAACCATTACGGGTATGCCTCTTCATGAAAACCCCATATGTGCTCCCCATTGGGGTGCACTCCTGTGTGGGATGTCACGTGGTTGAGCTCCAGTGGATGGAAATTCTGTGGCTAGCCCTCGTTTGGAAAAGCCTTATAGGTGCCCCCTTTACCTGGAAATTCTATGCGGAGCCACAATTGGGTGTTCTCATTAAATGGAAATTCTATGTGTGTGTTCCAAAATTCTCTCATTCATTGAACAGCACCCTCTTAGGGCCATCCCCCTTGAAGTGGAAATGTGTGAATACCATATTCAGTTACTTCATTAGTGGAAAGAAACTTCATGTGGGTGTTTTTGGGATATATAAATTTCACCTGTGGTGCCCCATGGAAGTGGTTTCGTCTGGCTGCTGGTGGGGGCAGCAGAGGGGTCACACAGCCCCTGAGCCCCCACCCCTGCCCCTGCAGATCCGCGCAGAGGAGCGCTTCCTGCGCACAGAGCAGGGCTTGTTGCTTCGCGCCCTGCAGCTTAGTGATCGAGGCCTCTACTCCTGCACGGCCACTGAGAACAACTTCAAGCACGTCGTCACGAGAGTGCAGCTGCACATACTGGGCCAGGATGCTGTCCATGCTGCCCTCTTCCCCCCGCTGGCTGTGAGCGTCCCACCACCTCCTGGCACAGGTCCCCCCACACCTCCTTACCAGGAGCTGGCCCAGCTGCTGGCCCAGCCCGAAGTGGGCCTCATCCACCAGTACTGTCAGGGTTACTGGCGTCATGTGCCCCCAAGTCCCAGAGAGGCCCCAGGGGCCCTCAGGCCTCCTGAACCCCAGGACCAGAAAAAGCCCCGGAACCGCCGGCACCACCCTCCGGACACATGAGGCCAGCTGCCTGAGCCCTCCATTGGGCCAGCCTAACCCTCATCCCTTTTAATATAAAAGATATATATATATATATATATATATAAAATATCTATATTCTATATACACTCTGCCCCTGCAAAGACAGTATTTATTGGTGGGTTGTATATAACCTGCCTCACTGGCAGCATCTTCCAGAATCTAGACCCATGCTTCTTGGAGATGGCAGAAAACTGGGCCAGGCCAGGACCACACAGTCCCCAGGTTTAGCCAGAAGTCTGCTTGCTCAAAGGCCACCTCCAAGATCTACAGAACACAGGGAGGGAGGGAGCCCTACTTGATGGGCCATGGACCATACACCTTTGACAGTGTGCGCTGTCAACCTTGTGGTAGTGTAGGCGTGGATGCCAGGACTTCGTTGGAGTCTGGGAGTGGGGGCTCAGAGCACACAGAGAAGGGAAGAAGGGGCTATCACAGGACCCTGGCCCCTGCCTGGGTTGGAGTACTCACTCAAGGCCAGCCCTTCCCAGGTATTTATTCTCTATTTATTGGGGACAGGAGAAGAGTCCTGCCTGGGTGGGACAGGACCACCAGCCTTTTCTCCTCTCCCTGCCTAGCCATGGCAGGGCTGCCCCACTCTACCTCCTTAGCTTTTTCTGTGCCACCTTGACTTGAAGGCTGGGAAAGTGGCAATGGGGCCAGGCACAGCAGGGCTGAGGCAAGCCCCAGCCTTGAGGGGAGAGGGGCCATCGTGGAGGCCTGGGGCCTGCAGGGGCTCCCCAAGGCTCCATTTTGCTCCCCACTGCAGGCACTGGGTGTAAATAGCTCTGGGGGCATTTGGGGAGATGGGTGGGGGCTCCTGGCGGCCCTCTGCTGCCCAGGCCACAGCCGTCCTTGGGTTCCATCTTGTTAATAAACACTGGCTCTGGGACTAGACTTTGGCTTCTCTCCTTGGTGGTGGGGGTTGGGGGAGGAGTTAGGGCCACATCTTCGGAGCATGGGGAGCTGAGAGACAACGGATTGGCCCCACTTAGAAAAAGAAAAACCCAGACAGTACAAAGAAATGAGGTTTGATTTAACAAGCCTCAGCTTCTACACTCTGCTGACTCCCAGGAAGTATGAAGAGCTACAGAGACCCCCGGGGCCCACTAACCATGTAGGGGTGAGGGATGTGGGAGCCTAAAGACTGAAAGTGGCATAAGTGAAACAGTCTGGCTCCTGGACAGATCCCCTCTCACCCAAAAGGGTGGATGTCAAAGCTGCTATCGTGGGCGCCACTACACTTCCCATGTCATGCTTGAGGACAGCCTCAGTGCTGTGTCTGGGGCCTTGGCACCCCCTTGTGGTCTAAGTCTGTGGCAGAGTTAAGTACTCAAAGGCAGCCAGGTTCAGGCAAGGAGGCTCCAGGCCCCTGGAGAGACCCATTGGATTTCTTTTTTTTTTTCCGCCCCCATTGGATTTTTTTTTTTTTGGTACCGGAGATCCAATTCGGGTCCTTGCGCTTGCAAGGCAGGCGGTGGAACCACTGAGTTAAATCCCCGGTGCCCTCATTGGATTTTTGATGGGGTTGGGGTGCAGAATCCCTGGAGTCTTGAGAGCTTGGCCCTGCAGGCCCTGCCTGAACCCCTTCAACAACAGCCTATACCTCAATAGGGCTCCAAATCCTAAGTTGAGGCAGACAGGTTCTGAGGAACCCCTAGGTAGGTCCCAGAGCACCAATGGGATTTCTCCAGGATTGGGGGCCACCAACCTGCCCTGGGACACATTCCTCGGCTGAAAACAGACCTGCAAAAGATTGACTGAAAGGTAGCCACCTCTGCAGATAAATGACTTTGTTGCACCCAAATGTATCTGTACAGACAAGTTCAGGGAAGTATGTATACTGGCATATGCTTGGGTACACAGGTATGCTCAGACATGCAGCTGGGCAAGTGTACCCTAACATGCAATGCACATATATGTGCATTTGCACACTCAAACACACATGAGCCCACATAGACGTAAAATATACACACACGTGCACATGAAAAGAAATGCATAGGAGGGCCGGGGATTTAGCTCAGTGGTTCCACCGCCTGCCTCACAAGCGCAAGGTCCCGTGTTCGATCCCCAGTACCAAAAAAAAAAAAATAATAATGCATAGAAGGCCAGGGATTTAGCTCAGCAGTCCCGCTTCCTGCCTTTGCAAGCACAAGGTCCTGAGTTCGATCCTTGCTACCAGAAAAAAGAGAAATGTATAGGAAGCTGGAGGAGGTAGCTCAGTAGTAGAGAATATGCCTAGAATGTGTGAACCCCTGGGTTCTATCCCCAGTGCCACACAAAAAAACCCATAAAAGGGCCCAGGATTTACCTCAGTGGCACAGTGCCTGCCTTGCAAGTACAAGGTCTTGAGTTTGATCCCCGGTACCACACACACCAAAAAAAGCCCATAAAAGCAGATCTACACAGGCATACACATGTATACATGTGCACACCCAAACATCCATACAAGGTACATGGATGCTCACATGTAACAGCACACACACTCAAAATGGAACAAACAAGGACCCATACACACAGGTATAAGGGCACAAATGTGTCAAAACATTACCTTGCTCAATGCCAGTAAGGGACAGAAACATACACTCAGGCACATATAGCAGATGTACATGGTCACCAACGCCATTGGAAGCATGTGAAGGCTCTGCTGGTATCAGATCCAGCCCTCAATATGGGGCAAGTGTAATCAGCTACTTTTTCCCTTGTGATTCCCAGCAGGGCATAAAACCCTGGTCCAGAGCCAGCCAGGCCTTCTCAACCACTGCCTGCTGTGTGACCCTGTGAGCCTCCACTTCCTCATCAGTAAACAGGGTGGAAGATACGGGCACCCATCCCCCTGGGTTGATGTGAGCTTCCAGCAGGACAAAGAGTGGTACTGAGCAGTGCTGGGCAGGCTCAGGTGCTCCATACCTGCTTCTCCCTCCATACCCTGGAGTGGCAGCCCTGCCCCCAAGATCCCCACTGAGTTGAGGGACTCTCCACTTCTTTCTCAATCCAAACCCTACCAAACATGTTTCCTTGCTGTGGGGCAGGGGAAGGACTACCCACTGCTTTTCCTGGGGTGGCACTGGGGAGAATGCATAGTCAGCACTTGAGGGATTGGGGCCATGCTAGCCGGCTTAGAAGGGTTGGGGGGCTGAGCTGGCTTCACTTGTCCTTGTCTCTGATTGGCCCTTGGGCACCCCTAGCTCCCAAATCCCAATAAGCAGCCCCACCAGGGCCTGTGCAGGTCCTTGGAGAGCCAGTTGATTACCAGAAGGGCATCTGGGGAGCCCAGAGACTGGCCTGAGCCAGGCTCTCGGGATCCCCTTCCATCTAGAAGAGCCACCTGCTCACCCTGCCCTTTCACCTGCTGCTGGGACCATGGGGGCTGGGGCTAGTGCTGAGGAGAAGCACTCCAGGGAGCTGGAAAAGAAGCTGAAAGAAGATGCTGAGAAGGATGCTCGAACAGTCAAACTGCTGCTTCTGGGTAGGAGCATGGGCCCAGGGGTGACTGCTGTGGGTCCCAGCCCTCAGTGACACAGGAGTTCCTTGGGAAAGAGAGTGGCACCATGACAGGGTCTGGTACAAAGAGGGAGTCCTGGCCAGGCAAGGCCAGACCTGACAGGTGATGTGCCAGGCCTCCAAGGCTGAGGATCCCATTGGCAACTCCAGAGGGCAGTGCCCCTTGTTGGCCATGTGTGCCAAGCATACTCGCCTTGGCCAGACTCCCTCATGCTCCAGCCTTGGTTTGATAAGACTGGAGCCCCACGTGGTGCTGCTCTCTGGGGAAGAAAGTCATATTCCTCTTGGGAGCAGGGGGCCTCTGGAACTACCCAGAGCCACAATTGCCCTCAGGTGCCAGCTCTTCATTGGTGGCAAATCTGTGATGCCGCTAAAGGGGATGGAAAGGTATTGAGGGTACTGAAGCCTATGGGAACTCTAAAGCTGAATCTATGGTCCCATGGATAGTGATATAAGCCTGCCTTAGTACTCCTGCCAATCCCGCAGGGGCAGGGAGCTGCTTTACGAGGGTGAGGCAATTTCCACCAAACTCTGCTATCTGGAATGGGGCAGAGGGACTAAGCCAGGTGTGGAGGAGGGGAGCAGAGAGGTTAAGCCAGAAATCCCATTAACTGTTCCCAACACCCTCGCAGGCTCAGGCTCAGAGGGATGTTCGTTCTGTCCTCTGTCCCACCCAAAGGCGGTAATTCCCTCTGAGCCGCTTAGAGTATTCCTGCCTTCAAGTGAAAAGCAAGGGGTTGTCAAATAATCCTGTTCGTGTAGTACCATAGATGACCACCAAGCGGCGCTCCAGGATTTGTTTATTTTGGTCGCACCCTGTAACAGAGGCTGTGTATACCAGTGTCTTGGTCTTGAGGATTCCCTGCCTTTGCACCCGACACAGTTGAGGTTCCTGATTCCCTTGTTTAAGTCCCTTTCCTCATTTTCCTGACCTTGAATTCACGGCAATCCTCCAGCCTCAACCTCTGGAGTGCCACCACGCTGGCTCATTTTCTGACATTTTTACAAACGTTTTTCTTTTTTTTTGGTACTGGGGACCAAACTCAGGTCCTTGCGCTTGCGCAGCAGGCGACGAAACCACTGAGCTAAATCCCTGGGCCCTACAAACGTTTTTCTGACAAGGTGTGAAGACCTTACTTTTTTTTTTTTTTTTTTTGGGAATTGAACCCAGAGCTTTCACACTGAGCTACATCCTTTTTAAAATTTTTATTTTGAGACAGGGTCTCACTGAGCCTCTAGGTTGCCCAAGCTGGGCTTGAACATTTTTTTGGTACCAGGAATTGAACTCAGGGCCTCGCGCTTGCCAACCAGGTGCTGTACCACTGAGCTACATCCCTGGCACTGGGCTTGAACTTTTGATCCTCCTGCCTCAGCCCCCCAGAGAGCTGGGATTACAGAGGTGCAATACCACGCCCGCCTACAGGACCTTACTTTGGATGGGATGAGGGCAGGAGTCCCTAGGGGTCTACCTGGTGGCAACCTAGGCTGGGGGTCCACTAACTCATCTTTGCACCTCCCTGTTGAGGCCAGGAGTCAGTGTCAGGGCCTTGGCTTCCCTTTCAGGTGCCGGTGAGTCTGGAAAGAGCACCATTGTCAAGCAGATGAAGTAAGTGCCCCGTTCATCCTGAGGGGCCTGGGGTGGGTGAACACTGGCACCTGCCTTGCGCCATCTGCCCCCGAGCTGACCCTGCTTATTCTGGCCCCAGGATTATCCACCAGGACGGGTACTCGCTGGAGGAGTGCCTCGAGTTCATTGCCATCATCTATGGCAACACGCTGCAGTCCATCCTGGCCATCGTGCGGGCCATGACCACTCTCAACATCCAGTATGGAGACTCAGCGCACCAGGTTGGCCAGGAGGCAGGCTGGTGGGGCCTGAGGATGCAAGCACCTGGTGGTCCTGGAGTCCCTAAGTCACCACCTCGCTCTCCAACCCTGCCCCAGGATGATGCCCGGAAGCTGATGCATATGGCAGACACCATTGAGGAGGGCACAATGCCCAAGGAGATGTCAGATATCATTCAGTGGCTGTGGAAGGACTCAGGCATCCAGGCCTGCTTTGAGCGTTCCTCTGAGTACCAGCTCAACGACTCTGCGGGCTAGTGAGCACGTGGGCAGGGGGAGGAGGGTATGCTGCACCCACGCCCCCCCCACCCAGCCATCCACCCCGGGGTCTCTGCAGCTACCTCTCAGACCTGGAGCGTCTGGTGACCCCAGGTTATGTGCCCACTGAGCAAGATGTACTGCGCTCGCGTGTTAAGACCACTGGCATCATTGAGACGCAGTTCTCCTTCAAGGACCTCAACTTCCGGTATGGCCCCCGCCCACACAGGATGGGAAGTGCCAGGGTCCCTGCCTTCCAGGAAAAGACCCCATCCCCTCCAGATGCTCCCCTCCCAGCTCCCAGCCAGGGGGAGGGAGGGCAGGCAGGGACACAGGGGCATCCAGGAGGGCAGGACACGGGTTCAAGCCCAGGCTTTGCAGGATGTTCGACGTGGGAGGGCAGCGCTCGGAGCGCAAGAAGTGGATCCACTGTTTCGAGGGGGTGACCTGCATCATTTTCATCGCAGCGCTGAGCGCCTACGACATGGTGCTGGTGGAGGACGACGAAGTGGTGAGTTGTGCGCGGGGCCTGGGGGGCTGGCAGGAAGCTGGGGAGGGCGGGATGCAAAGGTGAGCAGGCAGCCTGCATGGGGGCCTGGGGCCTGGCGCGATCCTGAGATCGAGACCCCTGCTGGCCTGCGGGGGGTGGCGCCGTGCTCAGCAGCTGTTGTCCTCCCCAGAACCGCATGCACGAGAGCCTGCACCTGTTCAACAGCATCTGCAACCACCGGTACTTCGCCACCACGTCCATCGTGCTCTTCCTCAACAAGAAGGACGTCTTTTCCGAGAAGATCAAGAAAGCGCACCTCAGCATCTGCTTCCCAGACTACGACGGTGAGCACCAGGCCCAGCAGCCAGGCATTGCCCCAGCCCACAGCTGCTGCTCCCGCTCCTCCCTCGGGGGCAGCAGGCTGTGGCAACGAGCTAGCGCTCCACTCTGCACAGGGCCTAACACGTATGAGGACGCAGGCAACTACATCAAGGTGCAGTTCCTCGAGCTCAACATGCGGCGAGACGTGAAGGAGATCTACTCCCACATGACGTGCGCCACTGACACACAGAACGTCAAGTTTGTTTTCGATGCTGTCACGGACATCATCATCAAAGAGAACCTCAAAGACTGTGGCCTCTTCTGAGGTGGGGTCCTCACAGGCAAGACGCTTCCATCGCCTCCCCTTAGTCTCAAACCCCAGCCCTGCCCCCAGCGCCTCTCTACTACAGACTCTGCCGCTCTCCCTGACACTCCGTCAAGTCCCCACAGAATGGCTTCCAGGCTCCACCCCAGCTCCTCAGGCTCCACTCACTTCCACAAGAGGCAGGCCCCTCCCCCGGCTCCTAAGGCCTGCCCATTTAATCTCCTTTGACCCCAACCCCTAAGTGTCCCATCGTCCAGGGCGCCCCCCCCCCCCCACACGCACAATGCCCGAACCTACTTACACTGAGTCTCAGGGATGCTGACTTGGTTCCCTTTCCTCCTCCTAGGTGCCTGAACTCCTGTGTGTCCCTTGCTCTGAGACCCTGTAGCCCTAGCTGCCTCATAGCCCCAAAACACAGCCTTCCATGATTCCTGGGCCCACACCTGCTGGCCCTCTAAATACAGTCCCAAAGCCCTGAGCCCTGAAACTTGCAGCACAGATTCTCCCCTGTGTCCCCTGACCCAGCCCTACACTTCACTGCCTGGCCACTTTGGCCTCTTGGTCCCACAGCAGTCAGACTCAGGGCCACTGGAGCTCACAGTGACTCAGCAGTGGCCATCTGATCAATCTCCTGCAGGTCTCTTGCCCCCTGGAGCCCACAACTCACCTGGTAGGTCTGGGTTCACCAAATGGCCCTCCCACAGTTTTGTGAAGGCTTTGCAGTGTCCCTCCCCCTAGGCAGCTGAGTCCAGCCCTGCCACTTCCATATGACAAGTCTGACATTTCCCTACCTGACAGTGGCCAGCGACTGTTTCTCCCCATAGCTTTGAGGGTCAAAAGTCCAAGCTAGCTCTGGTTTGTGCAGCCCCTGAACAGATAAATTAGTGACTAGGGAGGTGGATCTGAGAGCCCCTGGATATTAGAGGAGACACAAGCTGGACCCTCCCTCCCTCCAAATACCAGTCTCAGAATGCTCCCCTTCCCCCTCCAGATCTGCCCCTCTGTCCTTGGACCCCAGATCTGTGCTCCACCTCATCCACCTGAACACAGTACTCTGGCATGACTGGCCAAGAGAATGGTGTGTTGAGGGAGGGTACTGTTGACACCAACTGTGCCCAATAGTCAAGCAGTCCTGAGGGGTGGCTAGGGCAGAGTCCAGCTCCTACTGATCAGCCCCAGGCAGAAGATTCAGGATAGGATGGAGCCCAGGCTGTGCCCAATGGAATCTACCTCCTATGGGTTACAGGCAAACCCAAGTGACTCTTGTCCCTGCCAGGAGTTCTTCTCACCCTCTCCATTCATGACCCATTCTTCAGTAGGGAGCACTGAGGGCCATGCCTGAACTATCAGGGACAAGGGCTTATGTCCCTCACCTTCCTGCTCCTTCCTCATCAAGGATCAAGTCTTTGCTTATCCCCATGGGCCAGGGCTGTGCTGCAGCTGGGGAAAAGGAACTTTCATCTGGCAAAGCCAGAGCACAATCCACACTCCCCATAGGTGCACAGACAGCAATAAACCTTTGCACCGGATCCCAGATGTTCTTTCAGTGTCGGGGGGCAGGTAATGATCATGAGTCCTGGACATTTCTTAAATGCCCAGTGCTAGGCTGGACATGGTGTGTGGGGTACTCTTGGGTGTATGGGGCCAACTTGTGCCTCTTGGTGCCTATGGGAAATGTACACTGGGACAGTCTTGGACCAAGAGGGAGTTTTGAGGTGGAGACTCATTCTTCTTTTTTTTTTTTTTTTTGGTACCAGGGATCGAACTCGGGTCCTTGCGCTTGTGAGGCAGGCGCCGGAACCACTGAGCTAAATCCCTGGCCCCCCTTGGAGACTCATTCTTGCAGGGATTATAGAGTATATAAGACCTGGAAATGTGGGTTCGTGGCCACAGGAGTTCAGTGGAGCAGGAGCAAGCAAGGGGGAAGTGGAGTGAGGAAACAGTGGACAGGTGCCCATGGCTAGGCTGAGGGCTTGACTTTTTCCAGAAAGTGATGAAGAGTCATGGAAACTCTTGAAGCCAGAACATAATTTTTTTTCCATTGCTGGGATTGAACCCAGGACCTCACACATGGTACGCAGGTACTCTACCACTAAGCTACATCCCCAGCCCAAACTCACATTATTTATTTATTTGGTTTTTTGAGACACAGTCTCGCTATGTAGTTCAGGCTGGCCTTGAATTCACTGTGTAATCCAGGCTTCCCTGGAACTTATAGTGATCCTCCTGCCTCAGCCTCCTGAGTGCTGGGATTGCAAGTATGCACTACCATGCCTGCCTGGCTCAAACACATTACAGTAATTTAAACTTACACATTTTATTCCTCCCTAAAACTGAATTTATTATAATTTTATTTTCCTGGTTTTAATGGAGATAAAAGTCATCAATAATATTTTTGAAGGGTCAGGGATTTAGCTCAGTGGCACAGCGCCTGCCTCACAAGCGAAAGGTCCTGAGCTCGATCCCTGGTATGACAAAAAAAAAATTTTTTTTTTTGAAATCTGCTTTGGGAAAAAAATAATCATAAATTTTCATAAAAACAGGTATATAGGGGAAAACCTTTGTTCTGGGGGCCAGTGTGGCAATGGAGGAGGAGAGGAATGGGACTAGGGACTCCAGGGCAGATGCTTATGTCCTCAATACCAAACAGAGCCAGAGCCTGTGAAGCAGGAGCTCAGCTGAGCAGCCACATGTGATGCTGTGCTAGCTCGGGGCGCAGAGGATGTTGGACAGGCTGCGTCTGCAAGATCTGTGGCCACTTGGCAGAGATGTCTAGGAGGCAGCAGGTCCTCCGTGTGGAGCAGAAGGCAGATTGTCAACAGCATCTTCAGGACCCAGGACCTGTGGGGGGCCAGTGGGGGGAACACAGGAGGAGCATTTGGTGCTCAGGAAGCCAAGGACACATGGTGGCCCCACTGGTGCTGTTCAGAAGCCTGAGGGAGGAAGGGGCTTGGGCAGTGGTACAGGACCCTGCTGGCAGTCTTGGGCCTCGCTGAGCTGGAGTGGTTCATCTCTACTAAGGACCTTGAGCAGTTTATTGGACTGAGGTGGGGCAGGAAGTAGTGGGCAGAGGTGAGATAGAGGAGAGGAGGCTGTGTGGAGCTGGAGGTATTGTGCTTCAGAGGAGGCTACCAGGGAGAGGTGAATTAATGGGGTCTTTCTCACAGCTGCCTTGTGTTAGAAAAAGAGTAATGAGCCAGGGATTTAGCTCAGTGGCACCGCACCTGCCTCAAAAGGCCAATGTCCTGAGTTTGATCCCTGGTACAAAAAAAACAAAAAGAAAAAAAGAAAGAAAGGAAGAAAGAAAGAAGGGAGGGAGGGAGAGAGAGAGAAGGGAGGGAGGGAGAGAGAGAGAGAGAGAGAAA